AAAAAAAAAAAAAAAAAAGAAAGAAAAAGAATTGATTCCAGTGTGACCTTTTCTGGCCCTGGTCTTCCCACTTGTCAGTCCCTTCCTAGGGCCAGACTCCAACAGAGTCCCTGCTGCACTCTGGTGACCCCCACCTGATGGGGCTCCCTGGTCATCTCTACCTCTGATTCTCGCCTCCACAGGTTGGGGGTGCTGGTGAGCTGTCTGCAGGTGAACACACTACAAGGTCCACTAGACTCATTCCTTGTTGTCCTTGGGTGTCCTAATGCCTGGCTGGATGTTGGCCTTGGGAGTAGGTGCTGAGTTTGGAGCCCTCTCTTGTGAGGTGCCTAGAGAAGGGGCCATGAGGGCGAGAGGAAGGAAGGGCCGCCTTCCATGGGGCCAAGCAGGCTGGGGGCTCAGAGTTCAGGTCCCTCCTCTCCAGGCTTCCTAGACTTATTTAAAGGGGGATATTTAAAGCAGTTGGGAGCCATTTGGGTGGGGATGGGGGGAGCAGCTTCCTAAGACTCCCTGCTATGCTCCAAGGACTGAGGAGGTGGGCTAGAATGCCAATGGGGCTTTGGGGGCTTGGACAAATTGTAGATAGGGGCAGTTTGCTAACCATCCTGGTGTGATTTCAGTATCCTTGAACCTGGGATGGCTGTCCTAGGGAACACGGCTCATGGCCTGGCTGCCCAGGCTCTGGCCTAGGGAGGCTAAGGAGATAGAAAGGTCAGAGAGCCCAGCAGGCTCACTTAAGAGGGATCTGAGGCTCAGCACTAAGACCCAGGGCCTGGGGGCACACAAGCTGACAGGTGTCAGAAGGCCTCAGGAGCAAGCAGAGGGGAACTGAGTCACTACTTGGCACCCATGGCAGGTGCTGACCTTCAGAGAACAAGGCTCAGGTAGGCTCTCCTTCCTCCTGTAGAGGGGATACATCTCATGTCTGTAAAACGTCACCTGTCACTCTACACGAATGGTGTGCATTTGGGTTTTATTGGTTTTGTAGTTTTGTTTAGGCTAAATTAGTAAATCTTTCTTGATGTTATAGTTGAAAGGAGCAATAAGTACAAAAATTTTATACCTAGTCTCATGAATAATAAAATTAATTTAAATCAGCCCTGGAACAATATTGGACCCTAGATGGGTCTGTACATTATGTCTGTTTGGGGACCCCAGCTGGTCACAGCCTAGGCTTGTGCACACATGAGGTAGCCTGTGTGATTAGGCCTGTGAGGCAAAGTCACCACCGACCCGAGCTCACTGGAGCCAGGCTCTGGACCTGCTGCTGCTTCAGTGTACCTTTTCTTTTTATCTTTTCTCTCTTTTTTCTTTTTTTCCTCTCCTACCCCTCTCCTCTCTTCTCCCCTCCCCTCCCCTTCTTTCTTTTCTCTTTTTTCTCTGTTTCTTTTCTTTCT